TAGTCTACAAAATAAATGCTACGTTACCTGAGAAGACATCGGCTTTATAAGGGACTTGAAAAATAAGTTGCTTTATTATTTAAAAACAGTTGCTGTTGAAAACTAACAGATTTGCACAAAATTGTGCTTTTTTTATACCCGCCAGCAAAAGAGCTCAAGAACTTTACCGAATCTGAGCAAAGGTACACAAAAGAGAAATGTTTACAAATTATGAGAACGTTAACTGAGAATTCTGACAGTACAACGGAACCACAAATTGCGGATACACCTTTGTTACCTTCAGACAACTTTGAGCTGTTTTCAGGTCTTCTTAAACAACCTACCTTTGTGAGCAGAACTGATAAAGCTACTGCAGAGCTGCGGCGATATGAAAATATTGAGGTATATTTTCATACGGACTTCGATATAATTAATTGCTGGGAGGTACACAAATGCTAAATGCCGCTGCTGCATAAACTCAGTCGTAGAGTAATAGCCACTCCTTCAACTAGCGCATCGTCAGAAAGAGTTTTTTCTTCTGCTGGAAATGTTATTTCTGACAAAAGATGCCACCTTTTGTCAAATGATGATGCCCTTAATCAGTTGATATTTTTGCATAATAATATGCAGTTAGGAAACCAATAAAATTAACAAAAATTGTCTTTACAAATGTTTTTTCTTTGATACTTTCATTACAGCAGTTGTGCCATGCATTTGTTTTTCAAATCAAGCACTTGTTATTTGAATCAAAGCACTTGATAGTGTGAATTACTCACTCAACCGACAATGTTTTTTTAATGCTATCGCACGTTATGTTTGGAAATAAATGAGTGCGAGTGTGTTCAGATGTGAAAAGAAAGCGAGTGACTTAAAATGTAATTTGAGTGTATCCATGCAGCTCTCTGGTTCAGATCGATCTGCAATCAAGTTGAACGTTTTGCCCACAAACATTGCGATTTTGCGAGCAGTCTCATTGTAAAATCTCATTTTTATAATTTCTAGCTTCGGCTTACATTTATAAAATTCCACGAAAGCACGTACATATTTCGGCTGAGTTATCCATTTTGGGTTATATAGTGAACAAAATAAACGCAGGATAGAATGAGTTTGTGCAACATGGCCATTAATATAGCGACGAGTTGTACAACATGCCAGAAAATCAAAATTTTTTGATCTTTCATACAACCAAGACACAAATTCATTCAACAGGCCCACAAACGGTGCAATCTACAGCAAAACATCACCAAGTTGAACCAACGGTCGCTACTTGTATGGTTTTCTTTAAGAAACACCGGAGCGAAAATTTCAACTGCTCCTGTAACCTTGGTCGCTTTGGTCGCTTCTTTTTCAATTGGTAGGTTGGTTGGCAAAGTAAGATTTTGGATGGATAGTTCAATTAAGTTTTTAAATTCTTAATTATAAAAATATATATTTCAAACATCATTTTGCACAAGGTTCATAGAATAGAAGGTTACGACATCAGCCATGGCCGCCATCTTGATTCCTAAACAAGTAAGAAAGTCTAAGTTCGGGCGGAGCCGAACATTAAATACCCGGCGCAAGTATTTAATATATGACTTTCACCTTTCCGAAAGCTACCGCTACATGGTAAGCCGGGGCGTATCAATTTTGAGTAAATTAGAGTCCTTAAATTTCGAAATTTTGAAGTTTCAAGCAGTTCTGAAATTTACCGTTATATGAAAGCGTCCTCCATTTTAGTCCGATTTCAATAATTTTCAACGTTTTCATGTGGCAAGCACAACAACCATACCGAGTTTGGTACAAATTTGTAGAACGGTTACCGAGATACATATATGTGATCATAAGTGGGCGGTGCCACGCCCATTTTCCAAAATTTTATCATACGCGTATTTCCTGGTTAAGAATTGTTGCTAGGATAAATTTTGAATAAATTTGCTTTAATATTTACTGATTTATCGAAGATTTCGTATTTCTCTAAATTACCGTTATATGGGATGTGGGCGTGGTTATTGTCCGATTTTAAAAAGTTTCGGCGGTTTTTTATGTCTTACCAAGGGCAACAACTGTGCTAAGTTTGGAGGAAATCGGTGCAGTGGTTACCAAGATATACACATGTAACCATAAGTAGGCGTGGCTACGCCCATTTTCCAAAAATTTATAATATTCTTATTTTTCGTCTAAAACTTATTGTAAATATCAATTTTGATTGAATAATCTCAAAGTGGGCGTGGTTACGGTCCGATTTCGCCCATTTTCAATACCAACCTACCTTGGATAAATGGAAACCTACATACCAAATTTCGTTGAGATATCTCAATTTTTGCTCGAGTTATCGTGTACACGGACGGACGGGCGGACAGACAGTCACCGCTTAATCGATTTCTCTTTTCATTCTGATCATTTATGTATACATTTGTCTATATCTATCTCGATTCGTTTTGCCTGTTACAAACAACCGTTATGTGAACAAAGTTATAATACCCTTGTGCACAAGTGCGCTCGGGTATAAAAATGTTAGTAAATACTTGTTTACTTAATTAGTTTAGTTAACTTCAATGATTTGAAAGGTACTCGGCTGAAAAAAACTGTATTCGTAATCGGAATGCAATCTCAACCAGAGTCGATATAGTAAACCCGACAAAGAAATTGAAACGTATGTTGAAGTCGGACTAACAAAATATATATGTACTAACAAAATATATATGTATACAAATTTCTTTTGTTTGAAAGGAAACTGTGGACACTAGATGGCAGAAAAACTTGCGAATTCTTGCAAATTAGCGTTCGTCCAGAAATTTGCAAGCTTATTTACTTGATAGAGAATTGGAAGCATTTTATCTTTCTATCTGATATTTTGAGTGATAATTCTCGCTGGATTTTCAACGAACAAACCTATTGTGTTCCCTACAAGAAAAGGACTTTTCAGACTGACCGATTCTCAATACACTCAAATAAAAACCAGTACACATAAATAACGCTGTAAAAATTTCCCTTCAATTTTAAGGCAGTAAAACAAAGACCTTAAGTTAACATCGACCGAGGCCATATATTGACAAGGGATGCAAAATCACATTTACACAAAAGAACTGGTCATATTTTTCAGAAATCCCTTCAATTCTGATGTAACATATGATGCCAAAAGGCTGCTATACAGATGACCGGCAGATGTCTTGTAGGGTTCTCAGAGAGTTTTGCTTTACATGGATATTTGTGCTCTTTTATTTTCATTTTGACGCATTTCAGTGTTGGTTCTTTTAATTCAAGTTGGCCTTCGGTTTTTGGAATTTAAATAAGTTCTCAGCAAAAAAGTTTGTTTAAAAAAAGACATAAGTGTACAGGGGCACCGAAATTGCGCATATGGAAACTGTGCATTTAGACATTATTTCGGTTTCAACCGAAACTGTGCATGTATGCTTTATTTCGGTTTTTACCATATGCATTATTT